TCAGCTGCGTAGTCAGTTTTATGCCAACCTGGGTTACATGTGCCCTCCCCTCCCATGTATATAAATCAGAACAAAATGCAGCACTCTAAAGAGGTTTGCTACTACGCACACCTCTGGGGTGGGGGCAGCCTTATTGATCCCCAGGATACCTGGTGTCTTTCAAACCTAATGTCTTGTCTCTTTTCCAGGGCACTATTCCTGCTCAGCAAGGGGATGGTAAGTCAAGGCTGGATGGGTGCAGCCATATTGCAAGAAGGAAGCCACCTTGCAAGGAGGCCATATTGCAAGAAGGAAGGGACTTGGTTACTCGGTGTGTTCTCAAGAACAAGGGCTCTGCTCTAGCAGGCTTCATTTGGGGCCCTGAGGTTTTAGGTGGTAGGTGTGCTATTGAGGAAGCTGCTGTGGAGCCACTTGTACAGTTTCTTTGTTGTATCCAGGTTTGTTTATTTGAGACAGGGTGTCTGTGTGTAGCTCTGGCTATCCTGAAACTATGTAGACCAGGCTGACCTCAAACTCAGAGATCCACCTGCTTCTGCCTCCCGAGTACTAGGATTAAAGGCGAGCATTGCCATTCCTGACATCATTGCACCCAGCCTTGTCCGGGTGTGGGGTGGTGGTGGGGGGGGGGTGGGGTGTGTGTGTGGGGGTGGTGGTGTGTGTGGGGGGGGGGGGGGGGGGGCGGGGTCCTCACCTGTTAGACCGGTGACAGTTAACACCCTTGTCATCATCCCTTCCAGTTGCTGCTGATGGAGCGTAAACTGCAAGAGGTGCACCCACTGCTCACGCTGTGTGGGCAAATCGTGGAGAACTGGCAAGGCAACCCCATCCAGAAGGAGTCATTGCGTGTCTTCTTCCTGGTGCTGCAGGTGACCCACTACCTGGATGCTGGGCAGGTGTGTGATCTCTCTGGCAGGGGGAGGGTTGCTCATGATGTGGCGTCATTGTTGTATGTTTGTGAGTGCACCAACACAGATGCTCCAGCACAGGTGCAGTTCCACCATGCGCTGTGACATAACCCAAAGGGCAGGAGTTGCTTGGGGTTTATTCTAGTGGCCCTGTTGTCATTTGAGTAAGAACGTGTGGCCCCACATCTGTTGAGTGCACACATGGTTGGAGGTCTCTGGGGCAGCTCATGGAAGCCATGAGAACAAAAGAGAGAGGGAGTCGCGCAGCAGGCTCCCTTTCCTTAGCTCACAGCAGCTTTGTGAGGGTCAGTAGGGACCTTGGTGTGGCTTCATGTCTGCATTGAAGACCTGGCACCTGAGTTTGTGTGATGGCCTCAGCCTATGATGAATGGGAGCCATCTTGCCTACTCTGGCCTTTGCCTGCTCCTATGGGCTCACTGGATACACACCCCTGTGCGGTACTGGGCCAGTGTTAATGAGGACCCGGAAGTGCTTAGTAAACCTATTGTTCGTAAGGGCATTGTGTTCTTGTTGGGCCCAGCTCTTCACACAGCATGGAAAACATGGCAGTGGTGGGTTGTTCCTGACTGCTGAGAGCCACAACCATCCTGAGAGACTCAGGATGGCAGACAGAAGGGTTGGTAGGGGCTACACTGCCAACAGGGCTTCTGTTTCTTGGAGGCTACTGCTGGGCCTCTTCTGGCCTCCTTGAGTGAGGCCTGACTGCTGGGAGACTGAGTATAACTCAGTCAGGATCTGTGTTCCCTGCCAAAGAGCTAGCCTGGACCTGGGGAGGTGGACCCCTGCAATAGGAAGGGAAGCCCCATACAGGAGCTGGGTAGGATTGCTAGACCTCCTGGGGTGTGGTGCTGAGGCATGTTGTGCTGCAGGTGAAGAGTGTCAAGCCATGTCTGAAGCAGCTGCAGCAGTGTATCCAGACCATCTCCACACTGCATGACGATGAGATCCTGCCCAGCAACCCCGCGGACCTCTTCCACTGGCTGCCTAAGGAGCATATGTGCGTGCTCGTCTACCTGGTGAGTCCCGCCACCCTGGGCCTGGGATGGGAGAGGACCCCGTGACCACTACCCACTCTCCTTACAGGTCACAGTGATGCATTCGATGCAGGCTGGCTACCTAGAGAAGGCACAGAAGTATACAGACAAGGCACTCATGCAGTTGGAAAAGCTCAAGAGTAAGTGCCACCTGAGTGGGAACCCCAAGCAACCCCAGCAGCTCCAAGGTGTCCTTAACATTACAGCATGTCCACACCCAGGGGGGCCAGGGTCAGGACCTAGCTCTCACCTACCTGCTTGAATCCTCCCGAGTATGGACTCTGCACACACTTAACTTTGATGTTTCCTGGGATGTATGTGGCCTTAGTATTGATCTAAATCTCTTTGTCCCTGTGCCCTCCTGAGCACTGCTGACGGGAGAAGTAAGCTGGGGACACCAGAGCATGTGGAACTACCTCTCATTCCCTTAAGCTGGATTGGGCAAGAACTAAGCCCCTTTTTTTCCACCCAAGGAGAGCTGTGCAAGGTTGCCAGGAGCTGTATGGGGTCCCCATAGCTTGAATCTTGGCCCAGGCATGCACAGTTCAAGACATCTTGGAGAACCCACTCAGCAGGTTCTTGAGCTCTTAGCAGGGGTGGCGGCTGTGCCAGCCTCTGTAGAGCTGACCTGTGTGTGGCACAGTGCTCAGCCCACAATATCCCGTGGCTTTTGGTGCTTGGGATCCAGGCCAGTATCTGTGCTTGCCAAGGCCCTGCTTACCTGAGCACCACTGAATGGGGATTTCTTTGCCTTGGAACACTTCACATTGGCCTTGGCTTGAGCTTATGTCCTTATCTAGAAGGGAAGAGGTTGTAGGAGGGCTGGTGTGGGGAGGGCCCTGTGGGACTATTGCCTGTATGCTTAACCCTGCCTCCTGTTTCCAGTGCTAGACTGCAGCCCCATTCTGTCATCCTTCCAAGTGATCCTGCTGGAGCACATCATCATGTGCCGTCTCGTCACAGGCCACAAGGCCACTGCACTACAGGAGGTAGTGAGCTCAGAGCAGGACGAGGGGGCCAGCCTGCGGAGGGGCCCAAGTACCAAGAGGGGAGGGTACAGTGACCTCATTGTCACTGCTCTAGCATGGTGAGCTCTCTAAAACTTGCTTGCTCAGGGAACATTGTAATATGACTGGGATCCATGTCACCAAAATGCCCACCTTCCTGGGAACATTGGGAAGGCACCTTATAGCCTGTAGCCAAAGTACTCAGTTGAAGCTGGGCCAATGGTCAGCATGGGCAAGGAAAGATGAGGTCAGGGTCAGCCTCCTATGACAGCTCTTCCTGTCAAGGCTTTGACCCTAGGATGGCAAGCATGTCTTCCAGCCTTGAGGCCATACTCCAATACCAGGTACGAAGGAAGGCAGTGACCTCCATTCTCTCCTCAGATCTCTCAGGTCTGCCAGCTGTGCCAGCAGTCCCCCCGTCTCTTCTCCAACCATGCCGCTCAGTTGCACACACTGCTGGTGAGTTTGCCCTGGGTGCTGGGCCCCAGTGAGCTCTGTTCTGTTGTGGGGGTGGGCAGCCCTTCCCAATAGTGTGAAGTTCATCCCAGAGGCCCAGGTATACATTGTGCTTCTCTGGGGCCACTGTGTCAGCTGCCCTGATTCTGACCTGAGTCCCAGCAGCCTCGAGAGCTGCCCCACATCTGTCCTGTCCTTGCAGGGCCTGTACTGTGTCTCCGTGAACTGTATGGACAATGCAGAAGCCCAATTCACCACAGCCCTACGGGTAAGGCTAGCTCCCTGAGTAGCAATATGATGTAAAGTTGGCTACCCCCCAGAGAGGATGGAGACCAGCTTAGGTCTGCTGCTAGAACTGTAGGCTTTGAGCCCATAGTCAGCCTGACACTCACCATGACAATGACACAGTTCTTGTTGAGGTGGGAGCTGGCTGGGGTGAAGGGTTCCTGGACACTCTGGGCAGTTATGAGGGAAGTACATATGATTCAAGGCCATAGGGACACTGGTGGCCACTTGGACACCTAGTAAGTGCCAGAACACTCTCAGGCTGTGTCGGCTTGTGTGGGTGACCAGTGAGTGAGACGTCCTTATCCTACCTAAAGAGGTAGGTGTTCAAGGACAGAACAGGGTTTGCCTCAGGGAGGAGCTCTCCGACAAGGCATCCATACCCTTAGGCTACTGACCTCCTACAGGCTCCTGCTGTTCCTGAGAAACTGGTCCCATTTTTACCAGAGTGGTTCAGATGCCTCTTGGGCTAGCTCACCTCCCAGCTCTGCTCACCTGGCCGGGATCAGGAAAGGCTACCTTGGCCTCAGTGTCTGAGGAAAGGGAGGCTACTGACCCATTCCCCAGGGACCCCCCCCCCCCCAGCAGAGATTTGGATGAGCAGGATTCTGTTCTGTGAGCAAGGTGACTAGGGCATCTCTGACTGTGGGATGGGTGTTCCTTCCTTGGTGTTCTCCATGTCTGTGGGTGCTGGGTGAAGAGCCAACTAGCTGCCAACTCCGCTGGCTCTACCCTTATCTCCCTTGGCCTCAGGCCATCCTGCTGCAATGCCTAGGCCCTTGTGCAATGCCAGAAAATTCACATTCTTATTGGTTGTCTTACTTTCTTCATGTGGCTTTGGCTCTGCAACACAATGCTGAACTCATGTGCTGAGGGGAATCCTATTGGAGAATCCATAGAGGAAGAGGAGCTAGGACAGGCACAAACCTCACCCTCAAATTCAGGATCTTTCTGTTGCCCACAGCTGACAGTCCAGTGCTGCTGAAACTCAGGTCAGGGAAGGTTACTCTGGGCTTTTGTGTGCCCAGACAGCCTGCTTGCAGACCCTGTACTTCACTGGGCATGCCCACTGTAGGAGCCTGGGCTCAAAGGGCCCAGACTGTTTAGAATCTCATATTCTTTCCTCCTTCCTTCGATCCCATACTGGAGATTAAACCCAGAATTTCACACATGCCAGGCAAGTACTATACTACAGCTTCTGCTCATGGTTTTTAAGAGGATATATCAGTTGCACAGGCTGGCCTTAAATTCTGATCTTGCCAGGTTGGGTATAGTGGTACACACCTTTAATCCCAGCACTTGGGAGGCAGGGTTAGGTGGCTCTCAGAGTTCTAGGCCACCCTGGTCTACAGAGCAAGTTCAAATGACAGCCAGGTCTGTTACAGAGAAACTGTGCATTGAAAAACCATAAGAAACTGGGCATTAGTGACACACACCTTTAATCCAGCACTCAGGAGGCAGTGGCAGGTGGATCTTTGAGTTCGAGACCAGCCTGGTCTACAAGAGCAAGTTCCAGGACAGGCTCCAAAGCTACACAGAGAAACCCTGTCTCGGGAAAAAAAGAAAAAGAATTTTCTGATCTTGCCTCAACCTCCCAAATGCTGGGGTGACCAGCCTCTACCACCACAACTGGCAGTCAGCTCATTCTCTTGACTATCTAACGTCCACAATCTGTAGTTCAATGGCAGAAAACATGCCTAACATGCTTCAAGGCTTGGGTATATATCTGTTGGCAAAAAACAAAAACAAAAAATAAGCCAAGATGGGTGTAGGCCTGTCATCCCAGCACTCAGGAAACTGAGGCAGAATGATCGAGAATTGCAGGCCAGTCTGGGCTATGTGTTAAGACCACGTCTTGCCATTATCCACGATTGGTCATTGACAGGATCAGGATAGGTAGCTTTACTGTTCACTTTCTAAATGTCCCAGGACATGGCTGTTGTAGAAAGAGCTAACCTCCACTTTATGCTTAGGTTTGGAGTGAGCCGGGTGGGTTAGGCCCAAGCAAAGTGTGGCAGTGACCAGGCTGGCTTTCTAAATGCCCTGTCTTCTATTCCAGCTCACCAACCACCAGGAGCTATGGGCCTTCATTGTGACCAACCTTGCGAGTGTGTATATACGGGAAGGAAATAGACACCAAGAGGTAGTAGGTGACATGCTTCATGTTTGGTATCTTTCCTACATCTCTTGTTTAGGGGGCTGTGAGTGTCCTGGACACCCACAGACCTTAGAAAAGCCCAAATGTTTAGCTTTCTATGAGGGTGCAGCTTTTGAGGGGTCCGGACAGGGACTGGAGCCTCACTCCTGCAGCCATGTGGCCTCTGTCCCAACCTTAGCCACTCAGCTTTATTGACCCCTCATTATGCTTTTTTTTAAACATATTTGTGATGCTGGGGTACAACCCAAGGCCTCTTCATGCTGCCAAGTGTTCTGCCACAGAGCAATACCCTAACCCCAAATCAAGGGAAGGAAGGTTTTATATGGGTGGACCTCTGCCACCTGATTGTCAGGGAGCTGAGGCAGAACTCTTGGGTCACAAGGATGCTATCCCACCTAATGTCCCCACTCTCCTACATGGTTCCCTCAGATGGACAACCCCATGTCTGAGGCTGTTCTGGGCAGGCATGCTACACATATTGTGATGCTTTTCCCACGGAATGGAGAAAGCCCTATCCCCTGTAGCATGTTCAGGGCCTGGCCTCCTGGGGTGGAGCTCAGGCCTGACTGACTGACATTTCTCCACCAGCTGTACAGTTTGCTTGAGAGGATAAACCCAGACCACAGCTTCCCAGTCAGGTGAGTAGCTTGTGTCCAACACAGACATTCCATGCCCCGATGGAAAGTTTCTACACCCCATAAACCTCTCCTCCAATGCAGCAATCCAAATCAGACCAAACCAAACTGAATTCAAAAAAACCCACATTTAATGGATACAATGCTCCCAGGAGGATTTCCAGCCTCACAGAGAGGAGTCGGGAAAGAGAGACTGGAAAAACCACGAGTCTCTTTTCTGGGAGGCAGTTTAAAAAATGTGGACCCTGTGGAAGTGGTCTTGAGCATCTCTGGGGTGGGGAGATCATTTTGGGGGTGGGGCACTTGGGTGGAACTTCCACCATAACACCCAGTCTGCCACACAGGCTCAACACAGTTTGCACCCCATCCTTCAGACAGTCTGTAGGGGCTCCCTTTGGGAAAACTTTCTCCCATCCCCATCTGTGACTCTCTGCTTCCTTCTCTGCAGCTCACACTGCCTGCGAGCGGCAGCTTTCTATGTTCGAGGACTCTTCTCCTTCTTTCAGGGCCGCTACAATGAAGCCAAGTGAGTTTAGATTGGGGTACCATGTGTGATGGCCTCTCTTCCCTCAGGCTGCCTCAGCTTCTCTGTGACTGATATGCCTGCAGGGTATCAGCATCTGTCCCCTTGTGCAGGCGATTTCTTCGAGAAACTCTAAAGATGTCGAATGCAGAGGACCTGAACCGCCTCACAGCCTGCTCCCTTGTACTGCTGGGCCACATCTTCTATGTGCTGGGGAATCACAGGGTAAGTCCCTGCCTGGCCAACGGGCAGGGGGCGGCCTGGGAAGCAGCATTGTGGAGCTTGGTACTTCCTGTCCTGAATTCCAGGGAAGCATACTGTGGAATACCACACTCTACCAACACACAGGGAATGGGAGGCATGGGGCCTGAGTGTTGGGTTGTGTTTGTTTTTGTTGTTTGAGACAGTGTTTCTCTGTGTAGCCATGCTGTCCTGGAACTCGCTTTGTAGGCTGGCCTCAAACTCACAGATATCCACCTGCTTCTGCCTCTTGAGTGCTGGGATTAAAGGCGTGCACTACCACCATCCATCGTTTCTTTCTTTTCTTCCTTTCTTTTTTTTTTTTTTTTTTATATGATTGCTCTGCCTTTATGTATGCCTACATTCTGGAAGAGGTCAGATCCCATTACAGATGGTTGTGAGCCACAATGTGGTTGTTGGAAATTGAACTCAGGACCCCTGAAAGAGCAGCCAGGGCTCTTAACCACTGAGCCATCTCTCCAGCCCTCCAGTGCGGTTCTCCCCCCCCCCCCCATCATTTCATTTTCTCGGACGGGCAAGAGGCATCCTGTGGCCCAATCATTGCTTCATGTGCAGAGTAGGGGCAAGGATGCTCAGTTTGTTCTTTTCTATGTGGACAAGAATACTTCAGGGGAGCCAGGTGGTGGTGGCGTATGCCTTTAATCCCAGCACTCAGGAGGCAGAGTCAGGCGGATCTCTGCATTCGAGACCTACCTGGATAACCTCCAAAGCCACAGAGAAACCCTGTCTCAAAACACCCCCCCCCAAAAAAAAAGGAAACAAATACTTCAAAGGACCATTTTAGGTATTAGGTAGGCTCTGAAGTTGGAATAGGAGTTTGACCAGCAGCTGAGGAACATAAAGTAGGCAGGTGGAGTCAAAACCACCTGCTCATTCTTAGTTTTTGATTGGCAGGAGAGTAATAACATGGTGGTGCCTGCCATGCAGCTGGCCAGCAAGATCCCAGACATGTCTGTGCAGCTGTGGTCATCAGCCCTCCTGAGAGGTGAGAGTCAACAAGGTTCCCAGGCATGTCTGTGGGGCCCTGAAAACCATATGAGCAGGAGTACATCTCCAGGGAGGTTTTCTTTTTGTTTATTACAGACAGGGTTTTCTTATGTAGGCCTGGCTGGCCTGGAATTCTATGTAGACAAGGCTGGTCTTGAACTCACAGAGATTTACACTCCTTTGTCTGCCAAGCCACCATGCCTGGCTTTCCAGGGAACTTTTTAAGGTGGGGCTGTGCTTCTGCTTATCGGGCTTCGTGGGTGATCTTCCTGGGCTTGGATTCCCAAGGGCAATTGCGGTATGTTTTGGGTGGTATGGGCTTGGCCACCCAGGAGATGAAGCAGGCAGTGACACCTGCCCCATCCTCAGATCTAAACAAGGCGTGTGGGAATGCCATGGATGCCCATGAGGCCGCACAGATGCACCAGAACTTCTCACAGCAGCTGCTGCAGGACCACATTGAGGCCTGCAGCCTCCCAGAGCACAACCTCATTACGGTATACAGGGTGGGAAACAGACATGGGGTGAGGAATTCCTGCTCCTCGGGTGTGGATGGGCTATGTCAGTTGTCCCTCTCCCTTGGAAGGGCCACTAGACTTACCCATGTGTGTTCTCCTCACAGTGGACAGATGGCCCACCCCCTGTGCAGTTCCAAGCTCAGAATGGACCCAACACTAGCCTGGCCAGCCTTCTGTGAGCCCCGTATGGCCTGTGTCCCCAAGTTGGACCCAACACTGGAGCTCTCTGGGAACAAAACCACCAGGGTATCCACCAGCCCCTCACCATTGTCCAGAGCTAAGTCCCAGGAGTACTGGGAGCCATCATCTGCCTCTGAGGGCGACAGCCAGTCCTACCTGTACCAGGACTCAGTGGCATCTGTTGGAGGGGACTGATGACATAACCTGTGTGTGTCTCATCTGAGGAACAGGATGACAGTCTCTGTCGGGGCATCATTAGACTGCTCAACCAAACCTTGGTGCCCACTACCTAAGTGCAACTGCACCAAGTAGCCTCCAGTCCAGGACAAGCTGAGGGGAGAGCAATAACCCTCATTTTCCTGCTGTTCTTCCAGTGTCCCTGCACTCAGGGACCTCTGAGGACCTGGAAGTCAGCCTCTCAACAACTGTTCCTGGAAGGGGCCCCAGTGTGGAGAAGGAGCCTGGGACAAGGCATGCATGTGCAGTTGGTGTAGCTGTGACCTTGTCCCAGAGTGCCCTCGGCAAGCTCCTCTCTCATATTCAACATCACCTCTTGGCCCTGCCAGGGCCCTCGGCAAAGTCCGCTGGACCTGAATGAAGGAGCTTCCTTCCTGGCAGCTATGTGGCCTTTTCAGAGAGGACAGCTATGAGACCACCTCAACTCCTTCTCTTGGCTTGAGGACTACACCAAGGGTGGCACAGACTTGTGGTACCTGGGCAGGTGCTCTCTTGGATGGCAAATGTGGTGCTTGGGAGCTGTCACCCAGGCACCATGAAGGCTGCTTCTCAGAGCTTTGGAGTCCATGACTGAAGGGACAAGGCTCCAAGGCCTTTGTGGACATCCTCATGGAGCCATGTGGCAGCCTCTGCCCACAGCCAGGCACCCCCACCTTTTCTGTCTTCCTGCAACCCCTTGGGTCCCAGGGACCTTCTCAGTGTCTGTATCACAGCCCAGCCTATTTATTTTTTTGTTTTTGTTGTTGTTTTTATTTTTTGGTTTTTTTTTTTTTTTTTTTTTTTTTTTTTTTTTTTGCTTCTAGGGCATTTTGTATATAGAGCAATTCAGACAAGAACCTTGCAACTTAACACCTGTCCTGATGTTAAGAGTGCTTTTAGTGACCATGTCTCAGGCATGTGACAGCTAAGGATGGAGTCATGACAAACTCCATGGTCGGTGTTAAGGGTTCCACCGAAGTGAAACCTCCCTGACCCCCATCGCAGTCACCACAGTGTCCACTAACTAAAGATGGAGAGAAAAGCCCAAAAGGGCCAGCACACATGGACATTATGGCCTAGGAGGTGTGCCAAAAGCCAGGGAGCCAGGCTGAGGTGTAGCCTTATACATGGCTGTCGCCCCTTGAGCCACAGGTGACTGTTGAATGAAGGAAGGCATGTTATGAGTGTGTAGAGAAAGTTTTTTAACATGGTGGCATCGCCTGGTTTTTAACATCCTATGCTTTTAATCAAGAACTTAACAATTGTAATGCAAGAGCTATGGGAAGTCTGCCTGTGTTTGCTGGTCTCTTCTGGCTGGGCTGCCACTCCTGCCCGCCCGCCCGCCCGCCCAATGTTTGCATTTTCTCACCCTCCAGCCCTCCCAGCAGCCCCTCTACTATGGACTTCAGCCCAGGGACAGAGGCACAGCCCCTTTCTGACTCAGCCTAGTGGGAAGCTGGTCCACAGCCCTTTTTTCTGTTTGATTTTGGGTGTTTGGTTGATTGGTTTCTTTGTTTATGCTTGTTTTGAGTGCTCTGCAATGTAACAACAGTGACCAGCCTGAGTAACTCAGTTCTCTTGTCACAGCCTCCCAACAGCTGGGATTACAGGGAAATTCCACCAAGCCTGGCTATGGGGTTTTGATTGGAAGTGTTTAGAGCTTTTTTTTTTTTTTTTTTTTGAGTCAGAATCTCTTATTTATGAATGACCCTTAAGTCTGATTTTCCTCCCTCTACTAACCTAGTAGGGTTTGATAAGCATTTGCTACCACACCTGTTTTACCTGGAGCTGCTAGGCCAGCGGACCGCCAGCTGAGCCATAGCTACATCCCTTAGTCCTGTGTCTTGATACATTTGGTTTGGACCCTCTGTGAAGGGCATTCCACCCTCAATTCCAGCACACAAGCCCCTAGACAGGCTGGCTCCTATCCCCAGGTGTCCCTCTGGTCTCCAAGTTCTTAAAAGGCAGAGACCAGTTGGACATGGTGGCTCACACCTGTCATCCCAGCTTCTGGGAGGCTGAGGTGCCAGTCAGAGCCACACAGTGAAATGTGAATGCATCAGAGCGGGGAAGGCTTTTTCCTTTTCCATGGGATTGGTTGGTTTTGTTTTGTTAGTTGAATTTTAACTTTAGAGTTGAAATCCATATAAAATTAGACAGGTTTTGTTGATAGGTTTGGGGGGGGCGGGGTTGACTGATTTTTGACAGATTTTGCTGTGTAGTCTTGAACTTACAGCTGTTCCTCGGCCAAGAGTAAGGTGTGAGCCACCACTCACAGTTTTAGACTGTTTTGTTTTTGTGGTTTGGTTTCAGGATCTCCACCACTAAGCCTAGGGTTTCTCTGTGTACCTTTGCAGCCTATCCTGGAGCTCCCTGACTTCGACTCACAGAGATCCCCTGCCTCTGCTTCCCGAGAGCTGGGATTAAAGGTGTGCGCCACCACTCCCAACTTTTTGCCTAGGGCATTCTTACGCTTCAACCCTGAGTTTCTGAGACATAAGTGGCACCCCACTACACCATCTCTCCAGCCACTTTTTTGTGTTTTTTGCACTTTGCTGGGGGTGGAACTGAGGCCTAATATGTGCCGAGCGTCCTTCCACACTGAACTGCCCTGCAGCTGCTCCCTCAAGTCACTGTCAAGACCTCTCAAGACTCAAGGGCTCAGAGGGCACAGGACAGAGCCTCTGTTGCCATTGTGTGTTCCCAGCCACTGTCCTTCCTGAGAGGATTTTGACTCCAGCTGTTCCTCATCCTCCACAACTGCACATCTGCCTTTGCATCTTCATCAATGTGAAGGTTACATCCTCAAAACAAGCAAATGTCCTACCTCACCAACCAGTATGTGTTTGTGGCCAGTCCACAAAGGAAAAGCTGCCCTGTGGCAGCAGGTGTTCACATCTGGGAGGTTAGAATCTGTCATCAGCCTGTTCTAAGCTGTTTGAGAAGTCACCCCAGAGGCTGAGGAGTGGCTGCAGAGGGTGGCCTTCCATAGCCAGTGGCAAAATCCTTACAGCCAGGCCAAGTGTGGTGTATACCTGTGATCCCAGCACTTAACAGGTAGAGGCAAGAGGAATTCAAGGTCATCCTTAGGCCAGTCAGGGCTACACAAGACTTGTCTTAAAAAATGAAATAGGAGCTGGAGAAACAGTTCAGTAGTTAGAAGGATGTACTTGCTCATCCAGAGGACTTAAGTTAGTTCCCAGCATGCATGTCAGGCAGCTCACAACCACCTGTAACTCCAACACATAACTAAGGATAAATCTATAAAATGACCCTAGTCATTTATTCCATCCCCAGAGCCCATATAAAGTCAGATATGAGTTGAAGGGTAAAGGCACTTGCTGTCACACCTGACAACGAGTTTGTTGCCAAAACAGAAGGGGGAAATCAACTCCCAAAAGTTGTCCTCTGACCTCCATATGTACATCATAGCATGCATACCCACAGTTGCACATGGTTAAAAAAAAAAAACAAGACAAAAGCCAGACATGGTGGCTTAAGTTTGTATTCCCAGCACTGAACACAGAGACAGATGAATCCCGGGAGCTCACTGGCCTGATGACTGAGACTGAAGGTTCACCTCTGGCCCTGACACACCTGTACACACAAACATGCACCAAAAACCTTGAATGTCTACTAGCTCTAGAGACTGCAATCTTCAAGAATACACTGAAGCTAGGTGTTGTGTAAACAGGGTTTTGGCATGAAGTTACAAACAGCAAAATGGCTTCAAGGTGTGGTTGAGAGAAAGGTTTTTGTAGCTATGAGGGAGAGTCCAGAGCAGAGAGAAAGTAGCATATGGAAAGTGACCAGCAGACTGAACAGGACCATGAGAGAAGAGGTGGAGAGCAAGAGAGGAAGACCAAAGAGCCCCAAGAGTGTGAATATCCAAAGTAATAGGTTTGTAAGGAAATGAGAAGCCCATGACTGGGGAAGTTTAGGGTGGCAAGAGCTCCAGGTAGTCATAAAACTGAGGGAGTCTGGAGTGTTGGGGGTTTTGTTTGTGCATTTGTTTTTTGATTTGACAGGCGTATTGGCACTTGCCTTTAATCCCAGCACTCAGAAGGCAAAGAGGCAGGTGGATCTCTGTGATTTTAAAGCTAATCTAGTCTACATAGTTCCTGGGCAGCCAGAGCTAAATAGGATCCGTTGCTCTTCATGTCACCCAAAGATAGACTCCCACTCTAGTGGCAGTTCAGCGTATCACTCACCTCCAGAGCACACCTTAGAATTACATATAGCCCTGGTGACAGGCTTCTTCCCTCATTGCCCTAAAGGGTTAAGTACAAACTTCCAAAATGTAGCTGTGACCCGGAAGTGCATCTTTCACTGTCTTGTCTGCATGTTTGCCCCTGGGGGCAGGGGCATGCTCCTACATTGGCCACCAGAGGTCAGGAAAAGTCCAGGGCAAGACAGCTCAGCACATGCCTAGGGGTAGAAAGGAGGGGAAGCAGTAGTGCTGGCATTTTTCCAATGGGGTTTCCGGGTGGCGGTGGTGCACGCCTTTAGTCCCAGCACTTGGGGGAGGGGGGGCAGAGGCAGGTGGATCTCTGAGTTTCAGGCCAGCCTGATCTGCAGAGCAAGTTCCAGGGCTACACAGAGAAACCCTGTCTTGAATAAACAAAAGACCTGGGTTTGATTTTTTGGCACTCATGTGGTAGCTCAGATCCATTTGTAACTCCAATCCCTGATGTTAAGGGTGTATGATAAAACAAAGAAGTCAGTGATACATAAATTGATTTTTCAAGATAGGGTTTCTCTGTGAGCTCTGGCTGTCCTAGAACTCACTCTGTAGACCAGGCTGGCCTCTAATTCACAGAGATCCACCTGCTTCTACCTCCCCGGTGCTGGGATTAAAGACATGTGCCACCATCCACAGCTACATGACAATATTTTTTTTTCTTCTTTTTGTGACAAGGATTTCTCTGTGTAACAGCCCTGACTGTCCTGGAACTTGCTTTGTAGACCAGGCTGATCTCAAACTCAGGTATCCTCCTGACTCTGCCTCCTGATTGTTGGGATTAAAGGCGTGCACCACCATCCAGCAACAATTTTTTAATTAAAAAAAAAGTGGAGGACGGTTGGAGAGATGGCTCAGAGGTTAAGAGCACTGGCTGTTCTTCCAGGGGTCCTGAGTTCAATTCCCAGCAACCACATGGTGGTTTACAACCATCTATAATGAGTCTGGTGCCCTCTTCTGGCATGTAGGCACATTGTATAATATATATAATAAATCTTTTTTCTTTTTCGAGACAGGGTTTCTCTGTGACTTTGGAGGTTGTCCTGGAACTCACTCTGTAGACCAGGCTGGCCTCGAAATCACAGAGATCCACCTGCCCCTGTCTCCTGTGTGCTAGGAATAAAGGCATGTGCCACCAACACCTGGCTAATCTTTAAAGAAAAAAAAAAAAAGGAAAGGAAGGAGAAATCTTGGGGACATGAGAAGGGAAAGGAACTTGTCACTCAGGAATCTGAGGGAAGCCTTTTGCCAGTAGGAAAGGAAGAATTCCAGCCCAATCACTTCCTCCCCAGCTACAACCTCCAATTTTCTCAGGATCTGGTTTACAGGGAAAGGGCTTGTATATGTACTGACCCCTGTGCAGCTCTGATGCCCTAGTTTTATTTTATCAGATTATAACCTCATCCAAGGTTTCTGCAGAGCCAGCCACCTCACATCTGCTTTCGGATGAGCAAAAAGGAGCCTACAAGATGGTTCAGTGCTGACAACCAACCCAATCCGCCTAAGGGCAATCTCCAGGAACCACATCGTGCAGGGAGGGAACTGGCTCCTGCAACTTGTCACCTGACCTCTGTGCACACTGTAGTAGACACACATATAAATAAATTAATGAAATGTATAGGGGTTCTGTGTTTTAAACAGTCTCACCATGTAGCCCTGGCTGGCCTGGGTCTCACAGGGTCCCCCTGGCTCTGTTTCCTCAGTAGGGGGTTAAAGATGTGGGTCATCACACCCAGTATTGAAGGTTTATTTTTATTCTTACTCGTGTATGTTTGCATGTCTCTGCCATACATTGTGTGCAATGCCCCAGAAAGCCAGAAGAGAGCATCAAATTCCTTTGGAGTTGGAGTTCTAGGCTGTTGTAAACCAAAATCAAGTGCACTAGAAAAGACCTATGTGGCTAGGTGGTAGTGGTGGCAGTGGTGGCACACACCTTTAATCCCCGCAATCAGGATTTCTCAGTAACAACATACCTGAGGCAGGTGGATCTCTGAGTTTGAAGCCAGCCTGGTCTACAGAGTTAGGACAGCCAGGGCTGTTACACAGAGA